ATAAATAGTAGGAAACTAGGTATTACTACGTAATACTAGTAGATTAATAGAAGTAGAAATAAAAGTAGTTTACTTTTGTGGAATACATGGTATAATAAACCCTATTTAGGTTTACTTCTTCTACCTAAACCACTTCTTAGTCTACTTTAGATAAATATAGCTACTGTAAACCAGTTTTGTACCGTAGTGCTACACTAAATTTTTCAGATTCCCCATTGCTTGAAACCTCATATTATCATGTTACGCACAGTGCAGACACAGGAGGATGGATTAAGTTAGGAAAAAGGTGCAGTCGGCCGAGGCAGCTTTAAGAGCGAGGCCGGTTGCTTCTGTGCATGTAGTCAATAACAATAAAGACTTTGAGAATTAGCGCCACAAACTTGAACACAGCATGTTACGAGGAATTCCAATTGCTCTGTCGGTGCTGGTACAGCATGTATAATCTCAGCCAACACCAGGGAGGGTACCACTGGGGGTACTCCCTCGAGACTAACTAGGGATGAACCAGGCCTGACCTTACCGTTACTGCGCTACTGCATCTATTATGCTACCTGTATTTCTTTGCTAGTTGCCTCTCGTTACCTGGTCCTTCATATGTCCTTACAATGATTGACATGAGAGCAACGTGCTCAATTACAAAGGTCAGTGGCAGTTTCCCACTAATGCCACGAATCCTCGATCGAAAGCAGAGCCAGCCAGTAAATTCGAGTACTGCCAACCGACGACAGTCAGGGTTATTGTCGTTCAGACGCACAAATATGGGCGGCTTTCACCGTGGTGCGTTTCTTGGGTTTCGGTTGTGGTTAAGCAATCAGCGTTAATTTCGTAGTTGGTTCTTGTTACCAACTTGAGATTTCTAGTCGACACAGGCCTTTGGCTGATCAAAAATTAGCTCCTACCACAGCTTCAGGTCGTCGTTCTGAGGTTGTTTCATCGCCGCTGACTGCTGTGGCCACACAAATGCAGCCATTAATTCCTTGTTCACACTTCGAGCTGCCCGCTGTGCGCAAACAGACGTGGCTATTATTCCAAAACTTTGCTTCGCTATGTGGAAATAATGATCAAATGGTCCTGAAAAGGTGAAACTCAAGAGCTGTGATATGATAATTTTCGCGGCAGCGTCAATGTTGCTCAAAATTGAGCAAGATACGGTAGCTGCAGTGAGTGTCAGGGAAGAGAAATCACTTTTTACACTTGTCGAGTGCACATACTCAATCGCAGCTCTCACCTTAAAAAACAATGCACATTATGCGCTGCTTTCGAATTCAATGCTATGGCGGGCGACGTAAGACTGTGCTTGCAGGGCATAGGCTAACTAGAGTGGGGAGGGAGCAACATTTGGTAATTATACATCTATACAGGCAGTGCAAAATCGATATATTACATAAGCTAATTTAGTGTGTTGTTCACTGTTGCATGATGCTTGAGACGTAAAAGAGTGACGATTTCTAGCTATGAACTATGTACACCGCGACCTCTCCCATTTACGTATCACCATGTCAACTACAGAGCAAGACTATTCCAACCAAACTAGCCGAATGTCGTGTTGATCGGGCCAAACTTGATGTTCGAGTAGATGACAGACGCATCCGGATGTTGACTTTCCACATCAGCCGGCACACCTGAAGTTATCGCGCATTCACCACGCCCACTACCTGCATCGGTATCTGGGTTCTTGTCGGTAGGGTAGGTTGAGTCGAGCCAGAGCATGTTAGAGTAATGATCATCCCACAGACTCATGACGAGCACCATGCCATTGGCAAGTGCCTTGGCCATATTAGCCATGCCACCCTTGTCCTTGAAAGTATATTTGTCCCCAAAAGCCTTCTTTTGCGCATCGCAGAAGAATGTGGTGATGGAGTTGCCAGTGACGCCCGGAATGGTGGAATCAGGCTGTGGAATCGTCTTGCCGTTCTGTACGTAGAAGCGCTTGATCTCCATGGCATCGCCGCTTCCAATGAATTGGGTAACGACGGTGAACTTTTTCGAAGTATCGACAGTCTTGCCCTTGCCGTAGAAATCCTTGACACCCATTCGATAGCTGTTGAAGTCGCAGCCATCGGGATCGCACACACCTGCATAACGGTCCGCGGAGTATGTCCCACCACATCCGTCTCCGTCGCAGCGGGACTGCTCGATGGTGGAGCAAGAATGGGGAGTCACCGCCGTGCTGACGGAGTTCGCTTCCCAGATATCCATCTCTGCGCAACAAGAGCCGTGGCCGCCAACACCAGCGTTCTGGTCGTTCTTAGAGGGCTGCCAGCCCTCTACATTACCCTAATAGGAAGCGTCAGTACGTTGAAGTGCCGTGGTAAAGATTGCCCGCCAATGTGGTACATACCTCGCCGTTGATGAACTTCAAGTCTCGGGGACACTGAGCATCGCAATATCTGTATCGTCAGCTAAAATGTACGAAGGATATCCAGTTTCTCATACCCTGTGCCGTATTTGGCTCCGGCCTTATTCGTGGGGTACTTCTTGAGCCCACCATCAGCGTCCATCGAGACAAAGTAGAGCGCGCCATTGAGACCACAAGGCAAGTTTGACAAGTCTACGTCAAAGGTAAATTCCTGGCTTCCTGTAAACTTGAAGAGCTGGTACGTCGAATCATCCTGCATCAAGTACGTGCGAGACCCGATGTTAGTAGAGTACGAGCCCTTGGTGATGAACTTCAGTTCCAAGGAGTTGCCGCTCGCAGTAATGCCGTAGGTCGCCTTGTAGTCGGCACCATCAATGGCGCAATTAGTAGCGCAAGACTTGTTGTCTGGACAGGCAGTTGCGTTCCATTCATTGCCTGTGTAGCAATTCGTATATCTGTGGCCTCGTCAACATGAATAGTATAGCATCAAGGTGCCAGTCAACATACCCGCCCTTCACATGTAGCCATCGCCAGTTCGCATCAATCACGACCTTTCCATTCTTCGCGGTGCAGCTCCCTTTTGCAGTACAGGTCTGCCAGGTCATGCCAGGGTGGGTCTCGGTCTGTTCAGCTTGCAGGCACACCAGATATTAGCTACATTACAGCTGCTTCTCCCCTATCAAACTCACTGCCCACAAGCTGACCCTTGGCCAGCGAAAGGAGGGAAGTGGCGAATATCAGAGATCGATACATGATGTGTTTGAACACGTAAAGAGTGATTTGAAAACCACTACATGATGGGTCATGATCTTAAATAGCTGGCGACGACCAATACCGGTGCAATATCCGGTGGCTCAGTATACTCCTGAGTGCGTCCAAGTTCAATATGACGGCTGTAGAACTATAATATATAATCGTCCCAGATATATAAACAAATAGAGTTCTAGAAGGAGTTCTGTGATCTCAATCATGTCACATGCGCATGTTCCTGGCGCCATAAGCTCCGCCACTATCCCAAGTCCGGGATGATACCTTCACAAGGCCGGCCCGGGATCTGTCATAAATTTTGACATAGTGAAATGGTCCCTGTGACACTGTTATAGGTCGACAGGTTTATAGGTCGACAGGTATGCAAATGCTTATGGGCCCAGGTACATCAGACGCCAATTCACAACAGGACTGCGTAGATGACTTGGGTAATTGGTAAGTGATATATGAGATGACCGATATAACATCATTGGATACAAAACTGCCTGGACTTCTCTGTAATGGTGTTGCGACAAGGGTGTATTCAAATGATTCATATCAGCTCTGCCAGTGAGAAGAAGCTTCTACAAGCTAAGTTTATTTGCCGGGGACCCTGTAGGTGTGGTGAAAATGCCGGGGGGATTTCTCAACCGATGCTTCTCTGGCAGAGAACATCGGCTAGATGACTGCGATGAGGTGTGAACATATTCATGATAGATAGTAGTCTGGTATCAGAGTTCACACCACTAGTGATGAGGTCTGGTTGGGATTATTATTAGATATGCCAATGGTCGACGATGAGCGTATGTGTAGTCAAGGCCGACCGATTTTGGAAGTGCTTGTGGAATTGTCAGAAAACCAACACTGATATCACTCAAGTGAGTTGGAGACGTCGGCTCAAATGGATGGCATTCAGTCGGTTATTTGTGGGGTAGCAAGGGTTCCCCGCTTTCATTTCGGGGAATTGTTCCTGTCTGGCTTAGCGCCCCCGATATGGTTGAATATATATTAAAACTTCTCGGTAGACAGAGTGAAGGAAGTAGTACAGATCATGCCCTGTAGTAGAAAGAAGCAATGGCGGGTAGTCGCCAAGTACGACCTACAAGGAGGCTATGACCAAGCTGGGGTCCTCACCATTTTAGCCTTCTAACCCGCTGATATTGCGCATCACCCGCATCCGTATACTGAGCACAAAATCTGCACGTAAGTACATCAGTAATCTCCGCCTAAGTCATATTCCCAGAAATCTGGAAACGGCCACCCGCTCATGTCGACTTGCATGTCCTGCAGAACATCAAAAGGGCCTCCAAGATCCTTCGAGGCATCTCCTGAAACCACACCTAGGCCAAGATCGGGTACACCATTATAAATCGAAGGGTCTGTGGGCTGAGTCGTCCCATTCGAATCGGCAACGTTACCTGCCGCCGCATTCGGTGTCCTTGCCTCCGACGGCGAGATGCTGGGCATTGATGTTGATGAGAAATTCGTTTGGCCATCCTTCTGAAGCGCCAAAACACGAAACGCCAGAGCAGTAAACGTATCAAGCGTCCTCTTACACCTTGCTGGGATGTCATCCTTCGCATGTGTGACGTACGCAATCGATGTAGAAGGAGATGGTGGTGCTGGTAGCATGCCAATTGCTGCAGACAAAAGCCAAAACTCCATATATCCTGTACCAAGGCGCATGACTTTGTGCTCGAAAATTTCCCTTGTGCTTTCGAGTAGTTCAAGTGCTGTGAGGCACAAGGTTCGAGAAAGTGATGGTTTTGTCGGCAAAACTGCAAGAGTCAGCGGGACACTCAGTTGGCCGTTCCGTTCGTGGATTGGAATATCAGCGAAATGGCTCTCCGAATGAGCGAATTTGGGGTGTATATCTCGGCTCAAAGACATTGCTGATTTGACCTCAATCGGATTGCAGTTCGCGTATATCACTTGAGAGATGGTTATGCCAACTCTGAGAACATCATTACGAAAATGATTGAGCGCCAAGACTCTGCTAGGGTCCATATCTTGGTATATTCCTATAATGGAGCTTGCTGTGTCAATAATTGTGGTGAAAGAGTACACATAGCGCGGATCTTTTGGCGCTAGCTTTGCATACGGTTTGTGAAGCATTATTAGATACTGCCAAAGTTGTAGTCGTAGAAGGGCCGATGCGAACTGGGCAAGACGCTCTTCCCAATTAGGAAGTGACGCAATGGCTTTGTGTATACATGCATCATAGTGCAGGACATCAGAATATTGAAGATTGCTGGTAGGCGTGTTGAGTAATTGAGCCAGCTGTATCCGAAGTGGCAGCGACTTGTAGGAGGCTACAAGATAAGACACGGATGTGAATTGCTCCAATTGCATTTGAGGGGGCTCCCTAGAGAGTGACTCGTCGTCTACGTTCATCGGAGCTGGGGTGTCAATGTAAAGACTGGTGAGAGAAGATTGTAAACCAGCTTCGAGTGAAGATTGTAGTTCGAGCTCGGCAATAGTGGCCCAAAGTCGTTTCTTCATTTCTTTGTTCAAGTCGGAAATCTTGCCTGTAGCAAGTAAAGTAGGGTCTCTATGCATTCCGGATGCGATAGCAAGACGAACAAGGTCCCCCGAGTTGACCCAGTCCTGCTTCACTCTAACACAGTTCGCCCGCTTGGCAAGCAGAGATAAGCAATGTACTTGGAAGAATGTCAGCGTCGGTCGCTTGCGTGGCTGCTGAGCAATCCATGCGTCACAAATATCGATGAGTTCGGCGGCAGCTTGGCGATCCACCGTGGTGTCAGCAATAAAGACGTCGGTCCTATGGTTCACGCATTTTGTTGATGCGACAATGAGGAGGAGGATTACGGCAAAACTCGTCGAATTTTCGCTGGTGTGTGAGTGCTCCCAGAACTGACCATACTCATCCCAGAAGGATGGCTGGTGTAAGATCTTATAGCTTGTCTCCCAAGTCTGGAAGTAAATGACGGCTTGCGTTTCGATTACACTCCTCTGGGGAAGAGCAGCAAGCACTTCCTCGTCGGTCCCATGTAACTTTCCCCTTTGTCCGTGTGCAAAACTCTTTTTGCGATCTCGGAACGTCTTGAAATCTGTTTTGATATGCTTAATCGGGTGGTCGACAGTCAGAGCCTCACGCGTGAACGATTGAAGCTGACGGTACTGTTTGCAGTTAGCTCAGGGATAATGCACTGAGATTTGAGCGACCTCACACGTGTAATTGAACTCATTATAGATGTGGCTCCATGAAAGGAGGTCTTGAAGCCTTTGCCTCTGAAGACCATCTCTTCCGGGATGCTGGGTACTTCCGAGCTGAAATGTTCTTGCCGCAGATGCTCATTGTTGGGATCTTGAGCGGCGAGTTTGTGTTCAAGACTTTCAATACGTCTCTCTTGCGATCGCATCTTCCATTCCAGAGACATAGCAGCTGCGTCTCCATGCGTTGGGTTCTTCGCGCTGTTCTCACTGTTATCACTCAGTACGATCGGGCCATTGTCGCCTTCAGTGTGTCCGTTCATTGATTCCTCTAGCAGTCGAGGATCATATGCGCACTGGTCAGATCTTCCAGTTTTCTCGCATCGTCCACACACTGGATAAACTCGATCACACTTCATCTTGCGACTACGGCAGGCGTAGCATGACAAGACCTTTCTCTTCTTATTGGCACGTTTCTCCGACGGCCCATCATGACCTTCAATGGATCCCTCGTGCGATGCGTCGTCCACCCATTCGGAGCCTCTGACAGACATGTTGAGTCAAGATTTGCGACGCAGAGGATTTTTGTGGTGTTGACTGTAAAGGTCGGACAAGGCGGAGATGGGGATGGAGATAAACAGTGCGATGCGGGTTTGCTGCACCGCCGGGCTTACGTAAGACATCCAGAACTAGAGACCAGACCAATGTTCATGACGCCTCGCCGTCAGCGTCGCCTGTTGCTACCATTTTCCCTCGAATCTCGTCAGACCTACAATGAAGTATCTCGTGTACCTCTCATATATTTGGCTGATACAGAATGAATCCTGACAGCAGATACTCTAGAGTCAGCTGGTCCGATTCATTCATCTACTGGTAAACATCTCTTGGATGCCAGTATTTCTAGTCGAATGTCAACTCGACTCGGTGTCAGCATCCATTATTGCATCGACTCAGATGCAGCCCCAGTCGCGTGGAATCCTATCTATATACTTCTCAAATCATCTCGGCAGTTCCGCTCAGCTGACGCCATCGGAATGCTACGGTAGTGGCCATGCATTCTGAAACCCCTCTTGTCTGGACAGTGAAATCATCACTGGGCGCCACGCCTTGTAGGTAGGCTTGTCTGCGATATACGACCTCTCAACTCTGGACGGGTCTTGTGCGCTAAGCATGGCTGGCCTGGCGCCTCACATAATGTGCGTAGAACAGACTATCACGCGTGATTTGGCATGCCTTCGCAGACGCGCTGGGACGACCCGCCCTCGGCCCAAACTCGAAATGCAACACCCACGCGTCTCAGCTGCCCTTAGGTGTCGCGCACAACAATGTCCAGACCAACGATGTGTCTGGAATGGACTCGCTCCTTGAATAGCTCACATCATCGAATTTCTTTTTGAAAGTAATTTCTTTCTGTCACCTTTAACAATCTTATGCGTTTAATCAAAACCAACCTTACAGCCACATCCGATCTATACTACCTATGCCTTGATCACGAATTTGTTGCGAATAACCTACAACATCGCGGTGATGGATGCGAATGACGACTTCGATAGCATCCGCTACAAGGACCACCTCCAACATGGCGGCGACACCAATCGACGCATTCTCTGGGCCACATGGGCTACAATTGCCTTTGTGCTCTTCATGTTTGCTCTATGCACATGGTCAAAACGTTGGAAACAAACATGGCCGCATCAACACCAATACCGATTACTCGAGTCTGACGAACGAGGTTCCCAAAATTCAAGCCGGATTTTGGCATTGCTCGGAAGCATAATGAACAAACCGCTGTCGCATGTAATCCAACGCATTGTCCCAGCTCCTACCTTTGGCGGCTTTGTGCTTTTAATTTCATACCTCGCTGTTACGATCCTGCTGACCACAACTCTGGATGCGCCCTCCTTTTATCAACTCTACGCAGAAGGTCTGGCTTTCCGCGCAGCATGGATTACCCTCACGCAGATCCCATTAGTCTATCTTTTGTCATCCAAGCGTGGCCCTCTCAACCTCGTTACAGGTATTTCCTACGAGCGCATCAATTACATCCATCGGTGGATCGGGCGCACATTGTTCCTCACCGCGACTCTACATGTTGGTGTCATGAAGTCGCTGATACCCGCAAGCGACATCCTATTCTCACACGAGCAGGGTATGGGCATCGTGCGTCATGGGGTCGGCGCATATGTTACGCTACTATGGATCGTCGTGACAAGTGTTTTACCAGTGAGGAAATTGAGTCACCGGGTATTCCATATTAATCACTGGATTTCGACAATTGGGTTCTTGATGATAACGGCGCAGCATGTGCCCAGTTATGCGCGCGCACCAATCTTCATCGCAGGTGGCATACTGGTCCTGGATAAGTGTCTAGTTTTGTATCATGCTGTGCGCAATAATGTTTCCTTTCAGCCGCTACGACGCAAGCTGGGACGGTTTGGAAGAAAGCCAGAGCGTGGCATGCTCGTCACGGGATATGCGATAGACATGACAGCGCCGTCATCTTCAATACTCGGTTTACCAACTCAGACAAAGGAGACGGCGACCGTCATACGGATTGCGAAGCTTCCGTTTACCTGGAGACCTGGACAGCATATTAGACTGTATGTACCTGCGCTAGGGGTATTCGAATCCCATCCCTTCACACCAGCGAATTGCTCTGCTCTTCCTCCACCACCACTGCCCCCGAGGAAGGACATCGAACATGGGGACCACGTGGGACCTCCCCCGACGAATGAGCCCGCACAGACAAGCGAGATGCTCCTTATGATTCGCGCCAAATCTGGACTCACACAACACCTCGCAAATTACCACGCCGAATGGCTTACACGCCCTTGTCCGAATGCAAGCGAAACCCCTTCACCACTGATTGCATATCTTGACGGCCCATACGGCCAAGCGCCGCTGTGGGAAAACTATGGGAATCTCGTACTCGTGTCTACGTCAACGGGAGTATCGTTTATGATTGCGATACTGGATCATCTTGAGCAATTGTGCTTTACTGGTACAACTCGCCCGGCGATACAGTGTATCAGGTTCATATGGGTGATTCGCCACACGGACCCGCATTTTGAAGATACCGTGTTGAAGCTCCTGCGTCGATATGCCGCAATCCTTTGTGAAACTGGTATCGCAATGAGTTTGGACTTGTACATAACGTGTCCTGAGTCCGCGCTTGCGTCCGAGCCAAGCCAGTATGATCAATTTGCCCATCTGCGTCGAAGGAGGAGGGGGAGCTCAAGCGTGAGCGCGAGGAAACTTCCCCTGCGTATCAGACATCCAGAGGAGATCTATGACGAGTGGGATCGAGAAGCGGATATGCACGCTGCGGCTCTGAGGCGGATTGACCCGTTTGACGCAGGGATTGAAGAAAATGAGCGATGGAGCTTTGAGAGTGACGGTTCGAGTGAGAATGGAACGCTTGTAGATGGCGGGGAGGGTGGCTTTGCGCGTGCGTATGCGATGGAGGGACCGGACGATGCGTTTCGGCCACTGCCCCGGCCTGGAGCACTGCAGCAGTTTCAGTCTGCACAGGAGAAGAAGGAAGATGGCTGTCAATGCGCGATGATCCAGCACCAGCGGCGGAAATTGAGCACTAAAGGAGCCAGTGGGGACTTTGTTACGCAGTGGTATGGTGTGCGTCCTGATCTATCTGCTATAATGGCTGAAGCAGTTCCACCAAACAGTACGGAGAGAACAATGGTCGCGGTGTGCGCGCACGAGGACATTTCACGCGAGATACAGAACACAGTGTCAGATATGAACATGGAATTTGCACGATGGAGAAGGCAAGTTCCGTTGAGTATACATGTAGAAGGCTTCCAGTAAGCCAACAATCGACTCGTACACTTCCACTCATTGCCTGCCACATACGCGTAGGTGACCTACCACGGCCACTCAAATCTTCGCCTTCCAATCCCACCCCACCAAGCTCCACCTCGTCGCAACCAACAAGCACGCCCCCATGAAGAAACTCGTGCCCGCCCAAATATTCGCATGCGTATAGTCGCCACCGTTATTTTCAATCAGCGCGCCCGCAAGCGGCGGCCCCGTAAAACTCGAAAAACTCACAACCGTAAACAACATGCCCATTCTCACCCCGGACATTTTCAAATCCTGAGTCTGGTTCATCTTGCCAATGCACGCAGGCCAGAGCGATTGAATGACTGCACTCCCACTCCCATAGAAGACGGCAAACACGTACAGTGCGGCGACGCTGTGGATGCCGATCCAGGCAAACATCATGATACTGCAGAGAAAAGCGAAAGGGATGAGGACGTTCATGGCGCCGATTTTGTCAGCGTAGTAAGACGGCAGCACGCGGAAGATGAAGCCCATGCAGACCTGGACGAGCAGGAGATTGATGGATTGCTGGTAGCTTGTGCCAAGGACGTTGCGGCCATAGGATCCAATGTAAAAAAAGGCAAAGTACAAGCCCCAAAAGGAAAAGAACATGGCGATGCCATACAGGGTAAAGGGCAGTTCGCGGAAACTCGCCCAGTCGACTATAGGGCCTGCTTTACGGGGCGGCAGCCGGGTGCGGTAGAAGGCAATGGTGAAGAGGTTTGCAGCGAGCATGATGAAGCCGATGATGCGGATTGTCCAGGGGAAGCCAAGACGAGGGAGACACTGCTGTACGATGATGGGGAAGATAACGCCACCAGTGCAAGACCCCAGGGCTGTGAAGCCCATTGACAAGGCGCGCCGGCGGACAAAGTAGGTGGACACGAGGGCCATGGAGGGACAGAATTGGAGACCATTCGCGATGCCGAGACAGAGACCCTGACTGAGGAAGACTTGCCAAAGCTTAGTGCTCTCTGCCATGGTGAAGATGCCGACGAGTTGGAAGACAGCCCCGGTAATGTACAAGGGTCGGAAGAGACCTGCATCTGTAGCGCGACCGGTAAATGTCCCGATTCCGAAGAGAAGAAATACCTGCATCGAGCCGATCCAGGAGATTGTCGAGGGCGCAATATTGAGCGTGTTTTGATAGTATGTCTGGTACACGCCAAAGGAAGTGAAGAAGCCAAAGGTATTGAAGATGGTAAGGTGAGTGCAGAGGACTTGTGTCCAGGCTACTATGCCGCCGTCGGGTGGGGGACCTGGGTCAATGGAGGCTGCAGAACGGCGAGACAGGATTCTGGAGAGAGCAGGCTTTTCGGTGGTTTCCTGTGGCCTGCCATTGGGATCATTGAGAGTCTGTTCTACAATCTCTTCATCATGGGCGCTGGGCCAAACTCTGAGGTCGCGTTCAGCATCGTTGTTGGTGGCGTTTGCCGTGACGTCTACCGGTACCGTGACGTCTTTCTCTGAGGCATCTGAACTTGCGGTCATGGCTGGAATTCGCAAGCTTCAAAACGTCAATCCACGGGCAAACGTCTAGAGACATAAAGATGCCTACAACTCTTCAGTTGCAAAGAACCTTCTTTGTAATCAAGCGTGAGCTCGGGAATAACCTGCCAAGCAAGGGAAGGGTCTGGTACCCGTTAACGCGCATGGTGGATACACATGACAGAATGTTTTGCAGACTGGGGGCCAATCACATCTATGCCGCGAACGCGTATTCGGCAGGGTTACATGTATTTTCCGCCAACAAAAGGGCGCTTGCTATCAACCATAATAAATTGTAGGGGACACCGCCTCATGATCATTCTTGCTCCCCAGTTCCTTTTAAAAGTTTATCGATGGGGGGCCGAGAATACCACGGCTTCTCTCCCCCATCGTCAACATCTACCTAGGTACTTCTCCAGGCCAGCAATCACAGGTCTCAAGCACACTGCCTTTGCGAATCCTCATTCTTTCTGGACCCACGAGTCGTTACGCGAGCGAGTAGACTTGGGTCCTCTCTTTGCTTTTCCATCTTTGCATGCCATTCGGCCTCAGCCTTGGCCGCGTTCCTCTTCACTCTGGCCGTGTTCCACCGCATATAGTAACAGCACAGCGGAAACAGCATGCTATCCACAGCAACCCAGGCGAAGAGGATGCCAAAATTTAGACCGGCACGCGGATGAAGGTCGAAGAGGGTTGAGCGAGTAAGCTCGACAATGTTGTGCATGGGGAACGCGTAGCCCCACCGATAGAAGCCAGGGGCGAGCGGGAGTGCGTAGAACCCCGTCGCGACATTGCTAATGACCCAGAAAATGAGCCAGAGGGCAGTCTGGTCTCTGTTAGCTGTGCCTGGTGATTGTTTTCAAGTGCACATATGACCTACCCACGGCGTTCCCAATAGCATAGCCATGTTCTCACTGGCGAGACCGAAGGCTATCATACCAATCCAATTACCCATCCAGTACACTGCGAAGGTCCCCTTGCCGTAGGCGTTGGGATTTGCTGCCGGCCAGACGTGCGATGCAGGCTGATTATTCATGGGCATGAGGAAGGCGAGGGAGACGAAAGAGTAGATGAGCGAAAGTAAAAAGTACGATGCGACGGTGGCGGCATAGCGCCAGACGATGAGCTGGTAAAAGTGTAGTGGCGGATGCCCTTTTGGCGAGAGAAACTTCATATGTATCGGCAAGAAGAAAGTGAAGCTAAAGAAGCTGATGATGATGAGGTAGATTAAGCCAATGCTCACTGCCGGTGTCGCAATGGGGGGTCCAAAGGGGCGCAAGTCGTAAACCGTGAACTGGATCCCTGGCGAAATGGCTTGTGGCGCAAGCCCCAAGTTCATGTCGGTGACAGAGATGTTATTCTGGAGGAGATGGGTGATCCATGCTCGGCCAAAGTCATGGATAACGCGCTTCTGGAGCGCAGTCAAGCTGGGAACAATGTAGGAAGAGGTGGTAGTTTGATCGCGCGCCGAGTTGAACGTGATCTGGCAGGCGCCCAGAGGATCATAGCTCGCGTTTCCTTCGCGGACCGCTACTTCAAGCAGACTTGTGGCGTTTGAATTTATGACGACAGAAGCCCAGGCATCGAAGCCGTAGACGCTCTCACGCACCTTTAGAGGATCGTTGTCGAACTGCTGCGGTGAGACAAGGGTGTATCCGGGGACCATGTTGCCCTCTTCGACAATTTCTTGGATCATGTTCGTAACGAACGGTCCAACAAATGGAGCGGTGGTATCATAAGGAGCTTGGCCATCGAAGTCGACAACCCAAATGGTGAGGACCTTGACCCTTTCGTCCTGACGGAACAGTGCACCCCAGAAGAGACAGAGGAATACCATGATAGCGACAGCAAGGATGAGATCTAGACTAGTGAATATAGTCTCGTACATTCACGGAATTTTTGGCTTACTAGTGCGACACCACAACTTGAGCACGTGTAATCTGACACCAGCCTATTCATAGATGAGCTTTCTATGTTTCGTTGGATATTCAGGCTAGTATCTTACCATGGACCAATGCCAAAAGCCGACAGGATCTGGCTGAGCTTGATTTCGACTATTCCTGGTCCGCGTCCTATGTGGAGTGACTGAAGTCTTGCCGATTGCATTGGGTTCGGTATCGGCATGAGTCTCTGCCTTTTCCATCTCGGCTGCATCTTGACTTCCGCCCGGCTCAACGTTTGATATGGAATCATCTTCAGTATCTGAGTCGCTTTCGGACGATTCGGTGTTGCATGGCCACGCCTCTTGGTTGTAGCTGGGTGCTATTTGACAGCCAAGTGTCGGTTCTGCCATCCTGTTTCCAACGATTGATGGATACAATCTCAAGCTTGTGGTGATTGTGCCCGCGGAGAGCTCTCTGCACTCCGAAGTTCTTTGGGACGTGAAAGTTTTGTTTTGTTGTAGGACTTTTGCGACTACGCCGTTCCCATCAATCGCTGACGAAGCAGTAGTCACTGACTTAGCGCAAGTCTTAAGTGCATGGGTGAGCGAGTATGAGCGAGTAAACGTTTAACGTTGATGTCCAGTTTCACATGCAACTGCAAGCAGATGTAGGAGCAATGTGGACACTGATAAAAGTGTTAGACCAGTCCACCGCCAAGTGGACCTCCATCGAATGACGCAGAATGACCAGATAGAGTCCTGTCACTGACGTGAACGATCGAGCGGAGTAGTTACCGATAACGTAACTAGGCTCAATCCAGGTCTTTAGGAACCCAGTTAGTACTACACAGTATGCACTTTCGCTAATACAGCTTTAGATGAAACAACTCCAGAGTCGTCTGTCATCTTTACAAGATCTACACAAGTACAGGTGCCGTGGGATTTGATACAGCACTGATCATAGGATGCTGGCGGTTAGTAGAATGCTAGCTGTTAGACTAAGCATTTTGATCATCTCATCGTGGAAGCTTAGAAGCACCGACCATGCAATCTCATTCCCTGCTCGGGTGCCTAGTGTGAAGTTCGGTAGCTTTGGCAGTGAGGGCGCAGTTCATATGACCATGGAATTAGCGCTGCGTGAACTCGTATTCAGCATAGGGTTAGGCTATGCCAAGCTCTACTAGCTAGCTAAGCGAGGTTAACTAAATATTATACTATAAGATTTTACAACACGTTCTAAACTTATTCTAAATATATTCTATACTAGTAATACTATAAGCTACTACTACTATACCTATTACTAATATATCCCTCTTATCCTATATAAGTAGATTAAAACGTGTTTAGAATATGTTCTTAATAGGTTATAGAAGCACTATTAATAGTACCTTACCCTTAGCTATGTCCTAGATAATATTAGGGTATAGCCTATAGTTAGCCCTAATAAGGTAGTTAAGATAGAGAGTAGAGAGCGCTACTACTATACTAAGATTAATAATAAGGGCACCTTATATAGAGTAAGAATAGGTTCTAAACGTATTCTAAATAGGTTCTAATATTCTTAGGCTATTCTAGGTACTAGGGGCACTTTATATACCTATACTAAAAAAGATTATAGGCTTAATATAGCCTACTATAAGGTTAGTAAGATTAAGAAGACTAGCTAGCTCTCTATAATAGAGGTCTATAAGGTAAAGAGTAAATATATTATTAACCTATTCTTAACTTATTATACTAATATATATAGACTTCTATATAAAGGTTATATATAATTACTAGAATACTCCTTGCTATAAGTTATTTAGAATATATTTAAAACTTATTACTAATATATTTTATAGAAGTTCTTTAAGCCTAGCTAGCAGCTACTATAGGCCCCCCTATAAATACTAATACCCTCCTAAATATAATTTAGAAGAAGACTTATAGTAGCTATAATAGTAATAAGGTATAGCCTGCAAGAACCTATTAAAAATACGTTACTAACTTGTTATAGCTTAACTTTGTTACTATATCTACCTTACTAAGGATTTAAGGTTATTAGGTTCCTTATACTATCTACGCTTGTGATTATCCTAGCTATAGTAAGTTATTTATAATATATTATTAACCTATTCCTAATATATTTTAAGACTATTACTTTAATGCTAGTGTAGACCTTACTAATTCCTGCTAGAATACTGCCTAGTTCTACTTATAGTATGCTTTTGTAGAGCCTAGGGAGGATAGGGAGGATAGAGAAGATACTAAAGAGGGGGAGGGAGATAATAATAGTAATAAGTAGGAATATATTAAGAATATATTAAGAATAGGTTCTAATAAATAATATATAATAGTATATAACCTAAAGGGGTAGTAGTAATTACTAAAATAAACTCTTTACTCTTCTCTTTTTTTTTCTATCTACTAAAAGTAAAGTACTATTTACTTTTATAGGGTCCTTTAATAGTATATAACTTTTTCTTTTAACTTTTATAGGTATTATAAAGCTCTAGTAGTCCCTTAGATTAAAGAAGAATCTAGTATTTATAGGTGTCTAGCTATAACGTATTATTAATATATTCTAAATATATTTTAAGAGACTAGACTTATATCTCCTTTTTACTACTTTTGCTAAATATTATTTATAGTATAAAGGGGAGCAACTATTTACTCCTCTTCTTTACTCTCTACTTCCTCTTTAGCCTCTACTCTAGCTACTACTTCTTATTATAGACTAGCTATCTTAGAGGGTTCTTAAACCTTAGAGGAGGCACTTAGTGTAGTCTACTCTACTAGCAGAGAACGTATTATTAACGTGTTTAGAACACGTTCTTAAGCATTTACTATTAAGCTCCTATAGAAGATCCTTGCTTCTATAATACCTTGTATTGTAGTTCTGCTATAGTTTACTAGGGCTATTTAAACCTTAGGATAATACCTCTTAAGGTAGTAGATAAGATTACCTCTATTAGAGAAGTAATACTAAAATAGTTATTAATATATTATAAACATGTTCTAACTTGCATATATATATACTCTACAAAGTTCCTATACCCCTAATCTAGCTTAAATAGCCTAGTAGAAAAGCTTGCTAGGAAATACTATACACCTATTATTTAGGTAGGATATTATAGGAGAGAATACCCTAGTATTAGATAGAAGTAACTTAAGCTTAATATATTACTAGTATAAATCCTACTTAGTGTTAGAACAAGTTTATAACGTATTCCTAACGCGTTCTATTATATACTAACTTTAAAAGATCTTTGTAGACTATATTAACTAGTTATATCTAATAATATTAGGAAAGATAGATAGTAAAATAGTATTAAACTCTTAAATATAAAAAGTTCTTATAGAGTGTAAGAAGAAAGAAGAAGAAAGAGAAGAAGAAAGAATATATATTTATCTACTTATATATACTTAACGTAATACGACTAAGAATATATTAAGAACTAGTTAGGAACTAGTTACTATATTTATAGACTAACCCTACCTTATATAAAAAGTAGCTATCTCTTTCTTAAGTTTAAACTATACCTTTTGTAATTTAAATAGTGCCTTTTTCTATACAAGTTCTTCCTTATCTACCTCTAGCTTTTCTTTTCTCTCCTTTAGAGCCTAATTACTAAGAAGAGCCTTTTATTATAAAGTTTATAGTTATAGACTAATAATAAGTTAGGAATGTGTTATAAACATGTTTTATAAAGCATACCTTTAGGTTACTATTAGTAGAGGAGAAGAGCCTAGTAGTAGAGAAGATAGAAAAGGGGCTAGTAAATTTCTTTCTAATACCGCTCTACTACTTGCCCTCTAGCTTTAGGCTTTTAAGCGTGCTCTTTTATTTCTTATTAGGACTAAGATATATCTAGTTAAGTTAGATATAGCAAGACTTACTTTATTATTATCTAGAGTGTTATTATTATTATAGGACGCGTTCTAAACACGTTCTAAACACGTTTTAATTAGCAAATATATATAACGCTAGTGTAAGACTTACTTTCTCCCCTCTAAAGCTTTTTAAGGTACCTTTACTTAAGCCTATTAGGAGTTCTATAGTTATAGCATATTCTAAACTTGCTCTAGGCTTTAAACTCTTTTATATCCTATAGATCTATCTAGTGTATACTACACAATATTACTTATACAATTCTAATAGGTTAAGAATAGGTTATAAACTTACTTCTAAGTGGCCTTAAGAATACTTACATGCTTACTAGTTTTATATCCTTTCTAGCCTGCTTGCTTAGCTATATTTAAATAAGATTCTAGTTTTTCCTATACCTCTTTTAATATTTTACTATAGTATTGCATAATCCTAGTAGTAATTACTAGGTTTTTCTTATAGATTGCCTAGTTTTAGGTATCTTTAGAGGGTTTATATTCTAATTATATAAGAATAAGTTAGGAATATGTTTAGAATAGGTTTAGAATATATTTACTTATATAAGAGGAGGTTAGCAAGCTAAAAGTATTCCTCTGCTATTAATACCTGTAGTAATTTACTTAGACGTAAAGAGGTAGTATTATCTAGCTCTCTTTTATATACTTTATAAATACTTCTTTATAGATATACTTAATAAAATCTTATACAAGATTAAAGTTACTAGCGCTAGTTACGCTTATAGGGATTAATTAACTAGAGATAGCGCCTAAGTCCTAGAAACAAGTTAGAAACACGTTACAAACATGTTATAGTGCGCTATAAAACTTACCTATTATCTACTTATTACACATGTTAATAGTAGTCCTATAGAATCCCTATAAGTAAATATACCTCTATAACACTTATCTTTTTATAAGTACTTTATACTTCTAAAAGAAGTTAGTAATAGCAACTTAATATATCTTAGTTATATCCTTATCTATAATAATTTAGCTAAGTGTAATAACTATAATATGTTAGAAACATGTTATAAACCTATTCTTAATACGTACGCTTCTTTTCCTATAGGTAGAAGATTACTATTAGAATCTCTACCTATACCCTATATAACCTCTTATATAATATATCTATCTAGAATATGTCTTAATCTAATAGAATTAATGCCTACTCTTTAAAAAGGTAAATAATTAAGTTACCTAAGCTTAATATAAAGATTTGCTATATATACGCCTATAGTAACGTGTTAGTAATATGTTCTAAACCTGTTCTCTTACACTATATATAGTTTTAGGATCCTAATACTTTGTCCTCTACTTATAGTGTACTCCTCTAAGGCTACTCTTAAATAGGAACTATAGAAGCTTTTTACGCTTTATAATACGTAAGATTTTATCTTTATTTGTAAAGCTAATATATATTTCTTTAATAGAATAGAAACCTTTAAGTTAGAGATAGGTTTAGAGCTAGGTTAAGTTTAGGAACTAGGCTATAATAAGTTAGGAACACGTTTGTAACAGGTTATAAATAACTTATATTACGTAAGCTATAGAGTAAGTATAGGCTATAACACCTTTACTACTTCCTTAATATTACTATTAGATAGTGTTAAGAAAGGAGAAGGTATATATATATATATACTAAAAGAAATAATAGTAAAAAAAGGTATTACTACTATATTTATTAGTATAATTACTTAGAAGGTAACTTTACACAGGATTTTAAATAGAGATCCTTGCCCTTATAGATAATTAACGCCTAGAATATATTAAGAATATATTAGGAATAGGTTGTAATATGCCTACTACACTTCTTTATCTAGCTTAACTGTGGCTTAACTATAGAATATAAAGCAGGACTACTAGAAAGATTTAATATCTCCCTAGTTAGAAGACCTTATAGATATATAGAGTCTACCTCTAGTAGTACCTAACTAAAATAATATTTTTTCCTAGTAGCAGATATTAGGCTATAGTTCTAATAGCTAATATATAGTTAAGCCTATTCTATAATTTACTAACTTATTATTAATACGTTTTAAATATGTTTAAGTTTTACTCCCTACCTAATTTACTATAGTCCTTATTATAGGATAATAAGACACCTAGTAGTCCTTATAAATCCTTAAAGAGAAGCGCTTAATAAGGCTATAATAATAGCTTCTTATTTATAGTTCTCTTTATAGAATTTTCTTAGGTACTATACTTTTTAAGGTTTAGATCTAATTATATAATATATTATTAATAATATAATAAGAATATATTTATAATATATTCTTAAGATACTTACACGCTTTTACCCTAGAGTATTAGTATTTATACTAGCTTGCTAGCTAGCTATTAAAGAATAGTAAAGTTGTAGGCCTATTAAGATAGATAGACTAGCAGGAGTATTATACCTACTAGAATTAGAATAATTTAAGAACGTGTTCTTAACGTGTTACCTATGTAGCCTATATAAGCACCTCTTCTTTTATTAGGTAAGAGCTATCTTTATATTACTAAACTAGTATTATATACCTATACCCTTAGCTATATAATTAAGGGTATACTAGGAGAATAGCTATATACTTAATAATTACTAGTGTAAGTAGTAGTCCTTAACTATTACTACAAGTAAGGTATATATTATACCCCTATAACGTGTTACTAACCTATTCTAAACTTATTCTATTTACTTTTACTTACTTCCTTAATACTACTACTACTATCCTTCTCTAGCACTTTATATAGTTACCTAAATTTATCTCTAATATTACTATCTAGTTTAGATACATTATCTAGTACTACTATACTAAACTCTAGTATAGTATTTAGGAACGCCTATATATTATTAAGAATAGGTTTAGAATATATTTAAAAAAGATAGTAATAAAAACTGCGTTTACTTGCTTAAATTACCCTAATTTATACTTAACTATAGGCTAGTTTATATAACTATAAAAATTTGCCGCTGTGACGTGGACTTGAACCTACAGGGATATTCTAACCACTTGGAGTAAAGCCCAAGTCGCCCAACGCTAAACCCATGGTCATATGACATGCCACCACCTTTGGCAGTTGAGTGACACTAAGTGGCTTGATTGCTGCCCACAGGCCGCAATACGGCTTTTCAAGTACTGTTTGAAGCCTGTCACTCTGCTTTCCCCTCACCAAAGCTTTTCACGCCAGGTACCCGAGCAGGGAATAAGGCTGTGGACCTGACATGCTCCTAGCTGCTCATGTAAGCAATTAATTTAAAATGATTCGGGGCGTAGCATAGCAACTGGCTCTTGGATTCATCTCCATGGTATCTTTGACACTCTCCATCTACCGTGTTGTGAAAAGGAGCAAGCTGAAGCGTGCGAGGAATGCCAGGTCAAGTATCATTAAAGCGGATTACATAAGCGAGCAGGAAATCAAACGCTTTGAAGTTCGCGACAAACCAAGGCGGAACCCCAGAACAAACATTCACCATGACGCGTAGCAATAACCTCAACCCGCCAAGCTTGTACTTTCAAGTAGTAGAGTCGATCGTGCTGCCAGGATTCCGCATGGCCACATTCCCAAAATGTCCTTGAGAGGCTTGCAGGACACATTCGAGCGCAGCCGCGCCATTGGGCGCGGACGTGGCCGTGGACGCGGACGCGGAAGAGGAAAGACGACAATTGTATGCACATTCACCGCACAGGATGCCGCTGCCCTAACAACCGTGACAGTGGGAGTGGGAGTCGTATGTGCCTGGCCCTGAGGTCTACCAGCAACTGTGGCGCATCCGCAGAGAACCCACAATCGTCACCCCTCGTCTACCAGACCAATGTCCCCGCCCATTTGTGAAGTCGCGCATCCTGGACCGCCGACAGACGGATGACGATGCACTCCAGAATATCTACATTGTTGAGACCGTGAAGCAGTCTCGCGGCGCATCACAGCCAAAGACGACGGTCGAGCATGTGGATCCGAGCTGCATATTAGACTACGTGTCGCCGCATGAGCTGGAACGGTTCGAGAATGAGCAATTCAGGATGGAAGCCGAGGCCGAGGCAATCGCGGCGCGTGTAGAGGCCGAAGAAGCCGCACGTCGACGACTGGAACGGAATGCACGCAGGTCCGCGACAGGCCAAACCAGAGGGCGGGGGAGGGGGGGCAGGATACTCAGTGGTCTCGCCCTGGGCATGGAGGCGCTACACACCGCACCCAAGAAAGGCAGGCCACGAGGAAGTAGAGGCAAGAGAGGAATGTCTCGTAGCTCCTGGCGGACAAGGGGTCAGCTAGCGCTCAGCAGTCGGCCGTGTGATGGATCCCTGGGAGAAGATAATATGGATGAAGAGCCGACAGGTGTGCTGCATCATGAAGAGGATCGTGTTGTCGATGAGACTGACTCGGAGGACGAATCAGCCGCTGAAGTGACAGCGCACTCCTCGCCTACCTTGGTGCGCTCTGCATTCGTTGCCAACAGTGCTTTGCCAGTATCGCCCGTCGTCAGAAGCATGGCCTCTTCTTCAGACGCACGGCGCGAAGTCTCCGCAACCCCTCACATCTCCGAGTCCGACGTCGACCTTACCGACTACGACACACGCTCCATGTCCAGCGCTGCACTGCAATTGCAGCAAGAATACGAATCCAGCGAACACACCATCCCCGAATCGCAACCAGACAGCGTCACCAACCCTCATCATCGCCACAAGAGACGAAGAAACGTGTCCGAAAGTCCGACGTCTGATCCCCCTGATTTCAAAGCACCCACTGGATCTGTATTTGAGCCTGAAGGTCCCTACACCCAGCAATTACTCTTCAGAGAGTCTTCTCTCCCAGACGTCGAATCGGACTCTGAACCTGAGCGTCCACAGCCACAGGATCTCCTGTTCAGAAACCAATCCTCCATTCCCGAATTCGAATCTGAACCACTCAACGGCGACACAACGCCCCACCAACCTCCATCTCGTTCCCAGCATCCCGACGATCAACTCGACAACGAGGAGACCATACACATTCAGCCATCACACTGCACTTTGGATTCCAACCCCAGCACCGGCACTCATACCCACGACCCCAACGATGACGACGACGCAGAAGAATACGCAGTCGAATCCATCATCGAACACTTCTACGAAGGCGGCAAGAAATACTACCTCGTGAAATGGGAAGGCTATGAAGATAGTCATGATTGGCTGCCGGAAGAGGATCTTGCTGGTGCTGCGGATATCGTGGCGGAATACAATAGGAGGTTTGGGCGGAGAAAAGGTAAGAAGAAGGCTCGGTGAATGGGAGTGTTGGATGTGCGCGGGATGTGTTGGGAAGAGGGGAGGATGGGTATGTCACACGCCTTCATGTTCGAAAATCTCGAGAATGCGTTGGGAAATATCCAATCGTTATATTTTAATACAAATCCCTTTGCTCCATGTCCTTTGCTATCAAAAACACTACATCTGTCTGTTCACCCCCTTCACACAAACCCCGTTGCTTATGCTTGACTTTACTAATCGCCAAGTACACTATTCACCTATCCACACATACTTGAGAAGATTTCCCCGCCGAATCTCATCACACAGCATTCAAACGTGAATTCACTGCTTGATAAAAAGCCTCAGTCTACAGCGAGCCGCCCAAGCACAAGTATGCCATTTGACATGATGGGGATTATGGGAGTCGCAAGCTCGACCAAATTCTTGGCCAAAACTGCGGGGAACTGTAGGGAATAGCGCGATTGTATTCACTACAGTACAAAACTGGTTTACAGTAGCCATATTTATCTAAAGTAGACCAAGAAGTGGTTTAGGTAGAAGAAGTAAACCTAAATAGGGTTTATTATACC